GAAACATATCTTTCTTAGTTAGTGGATGTCACACTTCTCTTAATTCAAGCAACAAATATGTTTTATGCTAAAACATACATGGCAAACTAGGAGTGTAATGTAAGGTAATGTAGTGTATTTGAAAGGAGACATGGTTGCTAAGCTCACTGCTAAAAATACTGCAGCTGCAAAAACAGCCCTCTTTTAGCAATTCTTTCGATGATAAAAATAAAAAAATAATTGAAAATTACCAACTAATAATGCCAAAGTATTAGGAGATTTTGGTGCTTTTGGAGAACTGCTATTTATTTTAATAAATCATGTTCACCAAAAACCTATTTATCAAGGGGCTAGACAAGACTGTTCTGGAAGGTTTGTATTTATCTTTTTGACCCTGCATTTGTTTGGGAAGACATGCTTGTATAATCTGTTCATTAAGTGACTGACATCTCCAGCTGTGAGCCAAGCAGCCATCTCGGAAGTTGCAGTCACCTGTGATTTTTGGAGCTCTGAAAGCTCTTATCTCATCTAGCTAGAGCATGACACTACTAGGGGCTAAGGGCACAGATTTGTGCCAAGTTGCTTTTTCTTTTCCCACCTCTCTAAACCTGTTTGAGTGTGTTTATTAAATTCAGACTGAAAGAGTGGCATGCTTGTCTCACAAGGGACCTCTGAATGTCAGTTTCACGCTAAAGCCCATTCCAACATCAGTCCGTTGAGCTGTTTATCTGGCTCTTGCCCAGCCAACTTCATTCTTCCATGGCCTGGAGAAACAGTCAACAAAGAAATCCCACATATACAGTATACAGTATAGAAAAACTCTGGGAACCCTGCAAATGATGAGCCAAAATGATGATGTACCACTGGGACATTTTGTGTCACCAGTTCACCTTTATATTTGTAATTACTGTATGTTATCCAGAAAATACTGAATGTGTGAGTCATGTCAATATACCATTTCACACAACATGAAATTACACTCATACTGTACTATTCCCCCACAATGGGAATCTTTGAACACATACAGACAAGCAGAGACAAATAAACCATGAGCTTTGCGAATGCATGTCCAAAGACAGTTTCTGGCCGGCATCCTGAGTGTCCAATCAGGTGAATGCTTCAGGCTGAGACCAGGCCAAGCATAACTGTTTGGCTGCTATGAAGGAGCCAGACCGTAACTGAAATGAATCACTGTCACCATCACTGAGCTGCCAGCCAAGAAATATGCTAGAGAAGACTGTAGACAAACACATCTTCCGATTATGTTTGGTCCCGAGTGAACCTCCAAAGAACAGGGATAAGCAGATAAGTAGATCAACATATAAACTCATGACAGACTTACAGAGATGGTCAGAAGATGAATGAAGACATCAAGACACATGTTAGTCAGTGACTGTATGTTAACATTACTATAAAGTCAACCCACAGGTTCAGACTAAATAGATTAAAGTAATATCAACCTATCACTATCATTCAGTGCAAACACTGACTGTTCTCTTTAAAATGATTTAATATACTATATTAATTCTGCCATTCAAAGCTGAACTGATAGAATTCAGTTTAGCTTTGGTGGATTGTGCACATACACATGCACGCATTCTACAGGCAGAGCACAGAGAGTCAGACTCACTTAAAATTTGTCCAAAATCAGTTTCTGATAACAGTATGACAGCTTTTTTTAAAAATATGGGTCCGATCTTTGTTTTTGTATTGATTTGTCTGATCACTAACTCAGACTCATATTTACACCCACATATAACTGGCATAATTGGTGTAAACTGCACTGCTGTTATTGCACTTCTGGTTAGATGCTAAACTGTATTTCGTTGCCTTGTACTTGTACATGTGTAATGACAGTAAAGTTGAATCTAATCTAATTACATTCTCCCATTAGTAGGCATTCTTCTCTACTCATCCTGCTTCCAGAACAGTTCCCCACTGTATTTCTTGATATATATATATATATAATTAGTTAGGGAATGAGCCCCTCTGATCTACAGTCCACTTGAGCTGCATTGTGGAACCGTGCTGCCCAGGCCTGTGTAACTGTAGTGTTTGTATGACCCATGTCCTATCCTCTGTGGGCACAGCAGAGGCATTCCAGCAGCTGTCACGCTCCCATCCTTAAGTAAACCCCGCTGGCGTAATCGTCCAAGGAAAGCAGCCAGGAGAAGCTAAAAAACTTGAGTCACTCAATTACTTAACAGTGCCTGCATTGAACAAGGCGCAGCAAGCGAGGCGGCCCAGAGCTCACCTGCAACATCTGCCTGGTTTCATGTCATGTGGGAGAGACAGCAAATGTGAGATTCCAGCTTGAAGAGGTTGTTCATGTCAGAAGTCAGCCAAAAAATGTTGTATCTTTGAACTCATTTCTTTGTAACTGTAGCAAAGTGGGTTTGGCAGTGGGACCAGACCTCTGATTTTTCTAACTCTGAAATATCCTACTGTATGTAGAAGGAAATTTGCAGTTTAGAACAGGAAATTATATGCTCATTTCAAATAATTCCAACCAAATAAACAGCTTTCTGCACATCTGTGAATGGTAATGTGTATTTACAAGTCAACAAGTGCAGGCTGCTTTTGTGACAGCATCTTAACATTTGTCAGTTAGAATATACACTAAGGTTAAAAGATGTAATAAATTTAGAATATACACTATAGTATAATATAGATATGTGAAAAAGAGAAGGAAATAAACTTTCTCAAGTTTTAAAGGCACAAAATCAAGTTTAGAGGTTTGTCCTCTTTATATTTCTGGTATCTGTTATGAGATGCACAAGATCTCTGTCCACCTCCACCACAACAAGAGAACTAAAGACACTTGTGACTGACAGGCAGGACTGCAGAATGCTTTCCCAGACCCAACTGTTTGCTTTTTGCAGTTTGACATGTGATCCATGGTGTGCATATCATTCTCATCATTGCATTCTTCCATTAAAATAAATATACTGAACTCCAAAGCATTTCTCTCGAGTGAAACATCACTGTGTGAGAAAGCTGTAAAGAATGATACACACTGGCAATGTGTTATTACAGTTTGACGTGTAGCACCGCTTCAGGATACACCATTTTCCTATTTTACCAGCATCAATTCAGGTCAAAAGGCTGAAGTACAGAAATACTTACCGATTTCTGTAGTCGTGCACGGCTTTGCGCCACTTCTGGTGTTTGGTGCGGACATCATGTGATGCCACAAGTGTGCGTTGCA